AGTCTCCCTCCTTACCAGTTCTCTTGGGGTGAAGCCTTCCCTTGGGAAGGTCCATGCCTGCTGGATCTCCATGGAATGGAGGATCTGGTGTGAAAGCATGTGTGGTGTTTTAGGAATGGTGCTCCCCAGTCAAGTGCTCCCACCCAGACTCTCCCAAAGCAGATGCTGCTCACTCCCCCTGCCCCTACCTCTGGTTGAAAGCACAAAAGGCAAAGATCATGGGTGGAGAGAAGAACAATTCACTGGAAACAGCAATGAGATCATAAAACCAACAGGAACAGTAACCATAGGAATAAGAAAAGTGTACAGAGAGAGGGTGATTTACATGCCAAATGCTCACTGAGACTGTGAGCGAGTTTGACCTGGCTTCCCACCAAAATCTCCAATGCTCAGCAAAAGTCCTTCCCTTCCCTCCCCTTTTCGGCAAAGAAAGGAAAGGGAAAAAAATTATAAAAACTGAGAGAAACCAAAACCAACTGAATTATATCAAAATAGATGTTTATTTTTACATATGTACAGTTATATACAGAAAAATATTATGTACAACTCCCAAGAAAGGGGAGAGGCAAAGGGAAAATGGGAAAAGGGACAAAAAGGGACAAAACCAAAACAAGTATGCACAATCTAGAAACCCAGTAACTGACAAAATAAAGAACTATTAAAATCTCCCCACTTCCCTTGAGAGAAGCAGCACAGCTGGACGCGGCCCAGCACTGTCCCCTCACGCGGGGCAGACAACAGCAGTCACTGTGGGCCTCAGCTCCAGAGAAGGAAGACCGAGACAGGGACCGACCATTCCCAAACCTCGCCGGAAAGGAAGAGAGCGAACTCTCTTATCTACGCCTTTTTATCTGTTGGGTTACGGAAAGGAATGATATGGAATACTTCCTTAGATTTCTGACCCCGTTGCTAAGGAAGGCCTAAAATATCCGAGAAACCAACCCATTGCAGCCTGAGACAAAGAAACAATGGTTCCACTCTCCACGGGTAAGGAACACCCTCAGAAGCAGGAGAGAAAGTCCCTTTTCCCCACACCTGGAAATGATGTGAGGTGCTCTCATAACACAAGGTCTTGGCCGTGGCCTCTCCCACTGGTCTGCACTGGGACCAGAACAGCATGTCTGGCCTAGAGAAAGATCTTGGTGTGATGCAGCATGGAAGAGAGGTGCAGAGAGGTAACGAGATCTCCGCCCTTGGAGACCCTTCTCTTACTGCTTCCTCTTCATCAGGGACACATTTTCAGACATGTTCCAGGACCCAGCCAGAACCAAGGGTAGATGTCTTTCCCCCCAAATGATACCCGTGGAAATGTGAAAATGGGAATCCCCTCATCAACACTGAAAAATGACACCTGTCCCATTTCATAATCCAGGGAGACCCGGATCCGCCTGGGAGCCTTGATTTCAGGAAATTCAGTGGGACTAGTGGAGGTGAAAGCTTTCAGTTCTGGCCGTTTCCCCACTGCCCAGATGCCTTCCTCTGGTTTAAACTCAATCTCACGCTTCCTTTCCACACCATCTCTAAAAATCCCCACAGCCCATCTTCCTGCATTCTCCACCTCCACCTCCCAGTAGTGTCTCCCTGAGGTGAAGCCCTCACAGCCCAGAACGCAGCGCCACGGGTTAAATCTCTTGTCATTGTAGTGGATGTGCTGTGGTGTGTATGCTCGTGTCACCCTTTTGCGATTGTCAGACAGGACAAGGTCACAGTGGGCTGTGTCTGGATCCAGAACCACGTTCGCTGCAGGAGAGATGGAATCAACACATCAGGGCAGAGCTCGGCCCAGGACACATCTTTGCTGGGGCTGCCTAAGGAAGAAGCAGGGGGTGAGGGAGAGCTGGCAGAGTGTGGCATGGCAAGGT